TAAATAAATATTTTTAAGTTGGGCCCTCATTCATAATTATTTTCAAATTTGGGCCCCGATGTGTAATTTCCCCAAAATTTAAAGGTAAAAATAGAATAAAAAAATTGAAAAAAATGGTCGTACTTTGTGTGGCCGTATCGGAGAATCCTGATTTTAAATTACGATGTTACTCTTTTTTGGTCAGATTAACATACTCACAAATTTTATTTCTCTCTACATTATCTACTTAGTTATTTACATTGTATCTATTCATTGTCTATTTCATTACCTTATCCTAAACAAAATCTATATTCATTACTGGAGTCGTATGCATCCAATCACTTTCGCGTAAAGAATGATATCATATATTAATTAGGTTCCCACCACTTCTACAATTGCTCTACCTTAAATTTGTACATTTATTTTGAATATTTATATTTTTACTTTTTATTGCTTCGAGTTTGATACATTGACAGTCTTCGATCGACAAAGACTACAGCGAAAGAGCAAAGGTTAAAACAGAAGAGTCTATTAATCATTTCTAAACTTATAATAACTTTTTAGACTTGTAATAAAATTAACTTATTTCATAAAAATCAATAAATTACCAAATTATGTGGCGATCCTTGTAAATTATGTACTATTGTATTTTGCGGCGATATACACTTTATGGTGTTATGTGAAATACAAAATCATTGTCCCTGAGCAGGCGAAACTTATAAATAACGAAATAGTTGCTTCTAAGTGAAATTCTTGGTGTTACTAATTGTTTTGATTGCTTTGTACAGTGAATATAGACGTTCTTTCAAAGCTATAAATGACTTTTATGGTGATTTTTTTGTTAGTACACTCAAAAAGTACTTTAAACCGTATAAGTAAGTTACCCGGGCAATTGATTACATTAGCCAATCAGACGAGAGTCTTTCTGTGAACCAGTACGTACGTACGTTGTAATACAGCAAATTTATGCATATACGTACGTACGTACTTACGTAAATTCTGCATTTTGTAGATTGTCTTACAAAATATTTGATTATCGCCTGATTAGAAAATTTCTCTTTTCATTTTTATTCAACTCTACTCTTGTCCAATTAAGTTCTACAACTATAAAATTACTAACTTACCTCTATAAAATTAAGAGAAAATATTATTAGAGTCACATAGTTATATATAAAATATAACAACATAATTAACACCTACCATATAAGATATTTATTTTTGATGTTATTCACTACTGGAGTCAAAATGAACTTAAACGTAAAAATGCTTAACCTTATTGTACTTTTAATTTTCATGATTTTTGTTACTCCATCTTATTCTAATGAAGATAAATTATCCGGCCATGTAGAGTGCCCTGGTACCTATCAAATCAAAATTACTCACTTTACTTCTAGTCCAAATCCGATTATTACAAATCATCCCATAGAATTTGAAATTGGAGGGATTTCTACAATTACTATAGAAAATGGTACCTATTATAGCTCCATGACATTTTGGAAAGATGAGCCTATGGGTTTTACTGTACAAGATTACTGTAAAGAATGGATTGAACCAAGTGGTGGCCGGTGCCCTGTTGCACCTGGATAATTTTTTTATAAAGGCCGTTTTTTTGCAACTGTGGTACAAGATGAATATGATCCTAAAAATGTGACTCTAACTAAATTTGCGAGAAACATTAGTATGTATTCTTTTTGAAT